GAGGTCCGTGCTCTCGGGGACCCACAGAAGTCCCTCGGATGGCCCCGGGGGCTGCTTTCCTCCGGGGGCTGTGTGATGGCCTCCCCCTGAGCCACCACCCAGGCGTGTGAGTCGCCGCCTTCCGGAGACCGCGGGCCTCCGCTTTCCTGATTCTGGGGACTCCCCTGCCTCTGGCACTTAGGACTGTTTTCTCTTTGACCCTGGGGTGCCTTCTCCTGCCGAGGACCCCGAGCAGCCTCCTGGCTCTGCCCCTGCAGTGTCTTCTCTCTCTGACTCCCTGGGTCATTTTTGTTCTCACCCTGGGAGGCTTTCCCCCTCTGACCCGGAGGGGTCTCTTCTCTGTGATCCCAAGGGTCCTCCTCTCTCTGACTCTGAAGCGTGTCTATCCTCAGAGGTGTCTGAAGTTCTGCTCTCTCCTGATCCAGGCTGGAGCCCAGCCCCTCGGGGGCATCTTGGGGTGCTGGTGGGCCCTGGGCCGGCAGGCTAGCAGGCTCAGGGGCTCCCTGAGTGCGTGAGCTCCCTACTGGACTCCTGGATGGCAGTCGATGGGGCCTCTGGGTGGCGGGCTCCGCCTGGCTCTTCTCTTCTGGCAGGGCCAGGTCCTGGGAAGGAAGAACACTTGGACCCAGGCTTGAGAGGGACTCACCAGCCCAGTAAGACCCAGAGACCCTGTGGCTGCTCCCTGCCTGATTCCTAACTGGGTTAAACCCATTTTCTGTAGGGTCAATGGTGCTTCAAGGGCAGTTCCTTTTTCCACCTTGGCTACAGAGGCAGCCCTACCTCAGCCCAGCTGCCTCCTCCCAGGCCGGCCCTACCCCTGCTAGTCCCACCCGGAGAGGGCCAGACCAGGACCCAAGACTGTTCACCTGGCACTCTGAGTTTCCTGGCTCCTCGGGGCTCCTGCTGGTGGTGGGGTTCAGTTCTTGGAAGGAACCTGAGGGAGAAAGACCAGGGTTGGCAGCTCATGTCCCAGCCCCTCACACACATTCCACCAGACCTGAGGCAAGAAGCCTAGGGGGCCCCAGTGCATGGGTGGGGACGTCCTGAGGGCTGCTTGCACTTCAAAGCTGTCATCGTTCATATGCCCATCTTCATCCTGTGGCCCACCACGCACTTGCTTGTCAGATGTGCCAACAGCCAGCCCCATCTTCCTCATTCCCTGAGCCAAGGTGGACCACCCAGAGGGACCTGCACCGTCTCTTCCTCAAGACCACGCCAGGAGACCTGGAGGTGAGGGGGATTGCGTGCCGGGTTCCTGGGCGCCTCAGCACCAGGACACTCCCACTTTGTCCTGGTGGGTCCATCAGGCCCAGGGAAGAACTCCACTATATGTGCCTTACTTTTCGCTGTTGTTATTATTATTATTTATTTGAGTTGGAATCTCACTCTGTCACTCTATCCTTCACCCGCTCCCGGCCCCTGAGCCTCGGCCTGCTGGGCTCTGGTGATCCTTCCGCCTCAGCCTTCCAAGTAGCTGGAACTACAGAAGTGCGCTACCACGCTAATTTTTGATTTGTTGTAGAGATGAGGTCTTGCCAAGTTGCCCAGGTGGGTTTTGAACCCGCGGGCGCAGGCAATCCACTCACCTCAGCCTCCCAAAGCGCTGGGATTACAGGCTGAGCCACCGAACCCGGCACTTTTTGCTGTTATTAAAAAAACCTTCCTTAGCCTTTTCTTTGTGTCTGACAGTGAAATAAAATGAAATTCAAAAACTGAAATTTGAGGCCAGAGCCTGGCCTAAAAACTGCAAGTGTTCATAATTAACAAAAGAAATCTAAAAAAAGAGACAGTATGGTGCTGCTCCCCTGCAGCTGTGAAGGAAGGAGAGCTGTTCTGCATTCATAAAGTTAGTTCAAGAAACTGGTTTCATAAGATCTTAAACTGAGAACTTTTATAAGATGTTACATCTTGTTCCCATGTGCAATATACAGATGTGTGAATATTCATAACAGTGATTAGTGGGTATGCTCTCTGTGAAAAGAAATCTATCCTTCAAAGACTTGTTTTTATTGTTGTTGGTGTGTGTGTGTGTGTGTGTGTGTGTGTGTGTGTGTGCTCTGAACCCAGGCTCGAGTGCTGTGGCACAGCCATGGCTCACCACAGCCTCCACCTTCTGGACTCAGGTGATCCTTCTACCTCAGCCTCACAAGTAGCTAGGACTACAGGCAAACACCACCATATCTGGCTAGTTTTTTGTTTTGTTTTTTTTTGTAGAGACAAAATCTTGCTATGTTGCCTAGGTTGATCTTGAACTCCTGGGCTCAAGCAATCCTCCCGCATCTGACTCCCAAAGTGCTAGGATTACAGTCATGAGCCACCGAGCCTGGCTTCAGATAATTTTTTTGAACAAAAAAGTCTTATAAGGCTCTTTAGAAATGATTGCCATGAACTGTGAAAGCCTCCAACCCCTCTCCCTCTTTAATGCTTGTCTGTTGTCTTACTAGAGAATGTATTTCTCTGGTAATGTTATAATTGATATCTCTGTCTTCTCAAGAAATAAAATACTTGTAGAAAACTTCTCTGTCAATCAGAAATTAACCATTGGTTCCTTCCTCTACTTGCACATGCAAGCTGGAACAATTAAAAGCAGGTGGCTGGTTTTGCTAGCTCTATTATTTATTTAACCAATACTTTGAGAGTCTGTTTCACTAAGTTAACAAGCCTGAGCTCACAGCATCCATCCCACTGCATTCAAATTGCCTAGGAATTGTCATGCTGTCTTGCCAGGCTGTGATTCTTGACACAGGGACCAAGTCTCTCTTGTTCTCTGTATGTTCCCAGTGCCTGGCTTATGGGTGACACATAGATGGCATGGAATTGCTATTCTATTCCCTCCTCCCTGAGCAGCCATCGCTGGTCATTCCCAGGCTCTCTCCCTGAGCCCAAGCTTAGCATCAGAATTCTACTGGACAATCGCTGGGATGGCAGGTACCAGTCAGGTGGGATTGGTGCATAAAATAAAGCCTCCTTGCCATGGCTGTGTGCCCTTGGCACTCAATCAAAAGGTGTGAGATGCATGCATGTGTATTGTAGCCTTATTCACAATAGCAAAAACATGGAGCCAACTGTGCTGCCCATCGAAAGCGAACTGGATAAAAAAATGGATTATTATGCAGCCATAAAGAAGGATACAATTATGGATTTCTCAGCAACTTGGATGGATTTAGAGTCTATAATACTCAGTGACTTATCACTGAAACAAAGAACTGAGTACCACATGCTCTCACTCATTAGCAGACCCTGAACATTTACCATAATACTCTAAGAAAGGGATTGGCAGTAGCCGGAAACTGCTGGGGGGGGGGGGCACATAATATTAATAAGGGTACCTGAACTCAAACCAGGCAATGTAGGGAGCAAAGGGAGACCCAAAGTTTACCTGTATGATGACCACTTATCTACCTAATCCTGAATTGTACCCCACGTCTCTAAAATAAATGAAAAAATAATACAGTGGCTGTTTTGAGCAAACAAAAAGAAGTGTGAGCTGAAGAATGAGTAAAGAATGGCTGAAGTCCTTGAACTTGGGGAGAGGACTGCACTGTCTTCCAATCCAGTCTGGCTGCTCTAGCCTCAGGGCTCCCTGCCCTCCTGGCTGCCCATCCCGTCCCATCAACATACCAGGTGTGGGTTCTGCAGGTCCGCCCAGGCTCTCCCCACCTCGGTCTGCATCACTTGAGGCTTCATTCAGATCCCGAGCTGATGACGGGTCCCCTGTCTGTCCCCTGCAGGAGTTAAGAGCCACCTCAGATGCACCCCTCTGGGCCCATGGGCTCTGGAATGGGAGGGCGCCTGCCTGCCAGCCTCCCTAGCCCTGGGGCTGCTGAAACTTGCCCATTCCAGCACCCAAATGCTTAGTCC